TAGGCTTCTGGCCTCCCCCAGCAAACCCAGACATCTGGGCTCCTAGCACCCCTAACTCTCACCCTGCAGCCCCCACTAGGAGGACCCAAGCATCCAGGCTCCCAGCCCCCACCTCCTCATTGTCACCCCCCCAACCCCTTCCACTGTAGAGAAGCCAGGCATCTGGGCTCACCATCTTAAAGGAGCCCCGCCAGCCATCCCGAAAATCGGGCCGGTCCTTCTTGTCAGCCTCTGCTTGGAGATACCTGCAGATGTGCTGGAGGAGGGAAGGGGAGCAGGTGAAGGCAATTAATAGCGTCTCCAACCCCTGCCCTCCCACTGCTATCCGAGCCAGGATGGGGCCCAGGATCCCTTCCTGTTCTCCCCCCGGGGCTAGAAACCCCCCTCCCCATTCAGGATTGGGATTCCTGACTCTGCCCACACACCCCCTTCCCAGGATCAGGATCAGGGCCTGGGTACCTTGGGACAGCGGCGGTTGAGCGTGCGCTGGGAGTCGAAGTAGGTGATGCGCTGGCCTCGCACATCCACAGCTACCAGCGACCAGTGCACCTCCAGGTGGATCGGGACCAGCAGCAGTTCCTTCTGGAAGATGTCCACCTGCAGGGGGCACCGCCACAGTTGTCAGCTCTGCTCCCATCCCCCCCACCCCCCACCAGGGAGCCTAGATCCACCCCCCAGGTCATATTTTGTAGCTCCACCCCCAGCTATCTAGAATGCAGCTGTTTCTGGGATGTAGTTGGGTAGTATAGAAGAGTGCAGGGTAGAAGTGGGGTGCTGGATTGGACCCCTGCCCTGATCTCTATGCCATGAGAACCCATGTATCTGGGCTCCCAGCACCTCACTGCTCCGATGCTCCGCCCCAGCCCACTTCCCAGAGAACCCAGGTGTCCAGGCTCCCAGCTCCCATCCCCACAGCCCCTGCCTTCCCAGGGAAGCCAGGCATCTGGGCTCTCAGTCCCCCCTACTCTCACCCCTCAAGCCCCCTCCCCATCACAAAGAAGCAGCCAAGCATCTGGGATCCTGGCTCCGCCCCTCCAACCCTGCCACACTCACATTTTTGGTCCAGCGCTTCACCCCCTCGTACCCCTTGGTTCGTAGCTTATCGTAGAAAAAACTGTTGAAGAAGTGAACCTGGGGGGGGGGGGGGGGGGGGGGGGGGGGGGGGCA